AGTCCCGCATCGGGCTCCCTGCTCAGCGGGGAGCCTGCTTCTCCCTCTAACCCTCCCCCCTCTCATGTACTCTCTCTCTCATTCTCACTCTCTCAAAATAAATAAATAAATCTTAAAAAAAAAAAAAGATGAAGAACAACCCGGCACTTTCTCAAAATGTTAAATATAGAGTTACCCCATGACTCAGTAATTCCACTCCTAGATGTCCACCCAAGGGAAATGAAAACCTGCATCTACATAAAAACTGAGACCACAAATGTGCACAGGGGCATTATTCATAACAGCCAAAAAGTGGAAAGAACCCAAATGTTCATCAACTGATGAATGCATACATAAAATGTGGTCCACCCATCAGTGCAATATTATTCAGTAATAAAGAGAAATTAAGCACCGATACATGGTACAACATGGATGAAACTTGAAAACTAATTGCCACAGAAAAGAAGCCAATCACAAAGGACGGCATATAAGAGGATTCCATTTCTAGGAAACGCCCAGAAGAGGCAATGCCGAAAGCTGAGGAAAATGGGAGGTGTGTGTGTGGGAGCGTTGGGGGTGACAATGAAGGGGTACAGGGTTTCTTTCCAGGATAATGAAAGTGTTCCAAGGGGCACCTGGGTGGCTCAGTCAGTTGAGCGTCTGCCTTCGGCTCAGGTCATGATCCCAGGGTCCTGGGATCGAGCCCCTCAGTGGGCTCCCTGCTCAGCGGGGAGTCTGCTTCTCCCTCTCCCTCTGCCTCTCCCCCCGCCACTGGCTCTTTCTCACTCTCTCTCTCTCTCTAATAAGTAAATAAAATCTTTTTTTTAAAAAAAGTGTTCCATGGGCACCTGGGTGGCTCAGATGGTTAAGCGTCTGCCTTCACCTCAGGTCATGATCCCAGAGTCCTGGGATCGAGTCCCGCATCAGGCTCCCTGCTCCTTGGGAGCCTGCTTCTCCCTCTGCCTCTTTCTCTGTTTCTCATGAATAAATAAATAAAAATCTTTAAAAAAAAATAAATAAAAGGAAATGACATTTAAAAATAAATAAAAAGTGTTCCAAGGGCACCTGGGTGACTCAGAAGGTTAAGCGTCTGCCTTCGGCTCAGGTCGTGATCCTGGGGTCCTGGGATGGAGCCCCACATCGGGCTCCTTGCCGAGTGGGGAGCCTGCTTCTCCCTCTCCCTCTGCCTGCCACTCCCCCTGCTTGTACTCCCTCTCTCTCTGTCAAATAAAAAATAAAAAAATCTTAAAAAAAAAAAAGTGTTCCAAGATTGACTGTGGAGATGGATATACAACTCTGCACATACTAAACGCCATTGAATTGTACACTTTAAATGGGTGAATTGTATGTTATGTGGATTATATCCCAATAAAGCTGCTTTTAAAAAGTCACAGGTTCCTAAATATCTTAGGAACAGAAGTTGCTCTGATGTTTACAGTCAAGGCCAACATGAAAAAAAAAAAAAAAACTAGAGGGAGTCTCTTATACAAAATTTGTCCACTGCCCAGGAAACATTCAAAGTGGATAAGTAACAGGTAATCGAAGCAAAGGAACACACAGCAGTCTAGAAAACCAGGTGGTAATAGACATTCTCAGGGGTGCCCTGACATGTTACCAGTGACTGCCTCTGGGGGATGGACAGGGGAGGCTGAAAACCAGGAAGAGGAAAGACATTTACCTTCCTCTCTACCCCTGGTGTATTATTTACACTTGTAAATGCATGTGTTGCTTCTCTCCATTAAAAATCGTTAACAAAAATACATGCCAAAACCCTAAACCCATATTGCTAAAGAACACTGTTTGGCAAGGAGAAAAAACTGTGAATATTTTAAGTGGAAAAAAAGCTAGCTATTAGAATGTACAAAATATATGATTTTTGAAAAATGTATGCACATAAATGTTTATTATTACATACTAGAAGGTATAAACCACATAGCACCCTGCTAGCACATAGTAGAACCACTAAATGTTAGCTGCTGTTGTTGCCATTCATTATTATTATTATTATTGACATCCAAATAAGAATGGTTATCCCTGAGTGGTGGAATTTGAGCTAATCTTTGTTTCCCACAGCATTTTGCAATAAGCATGTATTATTTTTGTTACCGGTTTAAAACAGGATTTCTGAATCTGAGCACTATTGACACTTTGGGCCAGACAATTCTATGTGGAGGGGGCTGTCCTGCGCATTGTAGGGCATTTAGCAACATCCCTGGCCCTTTACTCACTGCATGTCCCAAGTCGTGATAACCAAAAATGTCTCCAGACACTTGTTCCCCAGGGGGCAAAATCGTCCCTGGTTGAGAACCACTAGGTTAAAATGTATATTATTTGCTCAAACTGGATGGATAACCTATCCATGTTCATTTTATTATTTTTTTCAACGGTACCTATACATATATGTACATATATAGCATATACTAGACATATATATCATATACTCCTGTATATACAGGAGTACATACATATGCATATCATAATCTAAATTCTCAATAAAATATAGAGATTATTTTTTAAATAAAGTGGCACCAGTTGCACTGGCCTCCAACATAAAAATAATCATTGTTAATATTTCCTTATTACTTATTAGAATCTGGCACTTAAGTGTCAGGCGCCTCTTCTACAGTTGTCATTACCCACAAGAACCTCCAGTTCACAGATTAAGCTGAGGCTCAGAGAGGTTAAGCAACTCGTCCGAAGACACCAGCTGGGAGGAGGTGGAGCCTGGAATACAGACCTCTGCTTGGGAACCCTAGGACCACACGGGCGGCGGCCCCCCAGATGCCAGACCCTCTCTGCAGATCATCAGGCGCAAACAAACAAAACACACCAAGGACCTACGACGTCCTGGTGGAGTCAGACACCAGGGTTCAAATCCCACTCTGCCACTTAGCAAGGCCATGCCCGCAGGTAAATTACTCTACCTCTCTCAATCCCTTTCCTCGTCTGGACACTGGGGTAAGAGAAATACGCACTTCACAGGCCCTTGTGCAAGGGAACTCAGGAAGATAATCCGTGCCCCTCCATCAGGGCCGGAAGCTCATTAAACAAAAACGCACAGCAACTGCTGATAGCTTATTATGATAAGCTTTACCGTAAACAGCAAAGTCGAACCGCTCACTACCTAGGGACAGACTAACATAACAACAGACATCTTCAAAGATCACCCAACACCTTCCAGACGATCCCCGTAGAGGGGGCGGGGGTGGGGTGTCCAGACCGGGGGCGGTGGCCGGCCCGAGGACACACGGCGAGACCCCGGTCCGGAACGGCAGCACAAAGAGCCCCTCGGTTCAGGACCCACTTAAACAGAAGTGGGCAGGGGGCTTAGCGGCGGAGTCGCGGGGCGGGGGGGTGGTTTGCACTCACCGAACTGCATCCAGTCCCACTCGCTGAGCGTGTCCATGTTGCGGCACAGGTCGTCCAGCACCCAGGCGGGCAGCTGGTAGATGTAGCAGGACATGGCTGGGCTCCGGGGACCGGCGGGCAGGCGCGCGGACAACTGGGGCAGCTGCGCCGGGGACCCGGCTCCTCTACTCCGGGAGCAGGCGGGTCCCACCGGGCGGTTCCCACCCGGCCGCCACCTCCCGGGGAAGTGGGCGGGGCTGGGCGCTGGACACCACCGCCCCCCAGCGGCCACGCTTGGCGCGACACCGCCCAGCTGGCTGGAACGAGCCGCTGCGGAACCAGCAGGGTCTGAGCTGGGAGGGGAAACTGAGGCCCGGAGTGGGGAGGGAACCCGTTTAAGGACACACGAAAGAGTTCAGTGGCAGTCCCAGGAGGTCTTCTGACTCCACGCCCAGTGCTTTTGACGCTCCGCCACATAGAATTCATTCAACAAATATTCTGCTAATCACCTACTATATGCCAGGCAAGGTGTTCAAGGTGTTGGAGATACATGAGTGGAAAAACACTACAAACCTTCTTGCTTTCATGGGACTTACAATTTAGATGGTGGAGGGAGAAAACTAACCATAAGTAATAAAAGTACTTAATAAATAAGTTAGGTGGTGTGCTAAACGGAAGTAAATGCTATTGCACAAAAAAAGGAAAGGTGGTTAAGGGGAATTAGGAATTCAGAGCAAGCAGCGGGAGGACTCTTAAACAGAGGAGTCAAGATAGACTTTATCATAATAACGGCTAACATTTATTGAGCAGCTACTACGTGCCAGGCACTGTTCCAGGTGCTCCAAATATCTCTGAGGAAAAAAGGACAAAATCCATGCCCTGCAGGGATACAGACAATAAGCAGTAAATAACTTACCACTATAGAAGATGATAGGTAACATTCCAGAATAAAAGCAGAGTGTGACGGGGGTGCCTGGATGGTGCAGTCGGTGAAGCTTCTGACTCTTGGTTTCGGCTGCGGTAGTGATTTCACTGTCATGAGATGGAGCCCCAACCAATTCTGGGTCCCGCTCAGTGCCGAGTCTGCTTGAGATTCTCTCTCTCCCTCTCCCATGTGCTCTCTCTTTCTCTCTCTCTCTCTAAAATAAATAAATCTTTAAAAAAAAAAAGCAGAGTGTGATGAAAGAGTGGGGATGGCTCATTGCATTATTCATTATCTTAGAAGGTAATAAATCTTAATGGAGGAAAGCAGAATAAGAGGAACTTCAGGGCAAATTGAATTATTAAATAGGGTAGGGGAGAATTTATACTAATAATGGCAAGTATTTATTGATCATTTACGATGTGCAGGCTTCACCGGGTTGTTTTGCCTACTGCTCACAACGACCCTATTAGATAGGTGTGCTCCATTCTACAGGTGAAGAAACCAAAGCACAGAGAGGTTGAGTAACTTGCCTAACGTCATACAGGTACAAGTGACAGAACTGGGATTTGAACCCCAAAAGTCTGACCACTGGCTACAAACTGCCTCATTATTATAATAACTACCATTTACCTATACCTACAATGTGCTTTGCATAAATTATCTTCTGTAATTCTCATAAGCCTATGCTATAGATAGTATTATCCCTTTTTTATATACATTAATAGAGGGGTTCCAAGAGATTAGGCAATGTCACTGAGGGTGGATAAACTGGAGTTCCACTTTGTGGCCATAAACATCAGCTAAGGAGTATGGCTGCAGAAGAAGGAAACTGAAATTAAAGTGTTAAGTCCTGGGGGCAAGTCCTGGTTCTGCCACCAACAGGCTTTGTGACCCTAGACAATGCATTTCACCTCTCAAACTTTTGCTTTCCACATCTATAAAATGGCACTAATTATTTCTATTGCCTAGAGTCGTGAGCTAGGGAAGTGGATTAAATCAATTTATACGGCCCATATAGAATGCCTGCTACAGGGTCTTTCTTGTACAGAGAATAGGCTTAAAGAATGGTAGCTGCCCTATGGAAAAGAGCTCCGGGCAGAGTGCTCCCCCAATCCTTCAAAGGACAAAGGATCAAAGGACATCAAGCTAATTTTTAAAAGAAAGGAAAAGAAAAGAAAAAGTCACCCACCGCCTTAGAATTCTATCGGGATACGAGCCCTAGTTCAGTCACTGTCGGCTCTTCATCCTGGAGCAAATTTGCAGTTTTCTCTTTTGTAAACTGGATATTCTGCCCTAGCCACTTTGAAGGATTGGGGTGAAGCTGACATGGAACTCCAAATGCTTGGGATAAACTGTAAAGTACTTAGCCCAGTAAAGCATTGCTTGTATGCAAGTCTATTCCTTTGATTTTGGAAGAGGGGTCTATTTCAGTGTTCTGTGACTGCTTTTCAGGGGAAGTTGTGTGTTTCAGCAGTGGTTGAAGGTGGAATTGAAGGGGAAAGCACCTACATCTCAGGACAAACATCCTCTTCTTTCATTTTTTCTACTTACAGAGTCCTCTGCTGCTTCTCCCTCTCTTCTGCAAGCGCAGAGCTTCTGTCTTTGTAGCATTATTCCCTTAGTGCCATGAGGCCTCTTCCCCTTGACTTTGAGACCACAGGAGATTTGCATTCGCCTTGGCCAGTCCAGTATGGACAAGTCCCAACAACTCTTCTCTGTGCTATTTCCTTGCGCTCTTGGCAAGTTTCCTTCTTACCCCATCCTCAGGGCTTGGTATCTGAGTCTTAGGATTTTCTCCTCCAGGGAGACCTAAGTAGTTCAGGGCCTGAGCAGGTCATCTTAGGGGCACATCTTGGTCCCCATTCTTTAGCATAAATTCTTCAAAGTTAGATTGTTGTTATTACAAATTAATAGTGCTGCCACTCTCCAAGGACCAAGCATTTAGCATACATTATCTGGGATCTTCACAACAACCCTACAATGTAGGTTTATTGTTGCCATTCTACAGATGAGAAAAGTGAGGCGTAAGTCCAGATTGGCCAAGTGACAGGATTCAACTCAAATCTGACTCCAAAGGAAGTGCTCTTTCTACTCGATTATACTGCCTCACCACAAAGAGAAATTTCCTTTGATCCTGCACAGTTCATTTCTTCCCCTAATTAGCTGCTTTCCATGGCCAACACCCTCCCTTCCACAATCAGCTAGAAACAATTATTGAGGTTGAATGTAATTACTTATATAGTTATATCATTTTGACCTATTCACATTTAATTACCTTGAAATTATAGTCAGTGGACTGCACTCCAGCTGCACATTAGAACTACCCAGGGAGATTTAACAAACTACACATGCCCAGCCTGACCTCCGCAGATCCCGACTCAGTTGTGGGTGGGGCTGGGGTGGAGCTCAGGCACTGGCATTTTTTTTTTCAGATTCTCTCTTCTTTTTTTTAAAGTTTTGATTTATTTATTTTTATTTAATTTTTTTTTTAGAGAGAGAGAGTGGGGGGGGGGCCAGAGGAGAGGGAGAGAGAGAATCTTAAGCAGGCTCCACACCCAGGGCACAGCCCAATATATGGCTTGATCTCACAACCCTGAGGTCATGAGTCAGATGCTTAAATGACTGAGCCATCCAGATGCTCCTTAGGTTTTTATTTTAATCACCCAGTGTTCATAACAACAAGGCACTGGCATTTTAAAAAGCTTCCCAGATTTGGGGTACCTGGATGGCTCAGTCAGTTGAGCATCTGACTCAATTTCAGCTCAGGTCATGATCTCAGGGTTGAGGGATCAAGGCCCACCTGGGGCTCCATGCTCAGCGAGGAGTCTGCTGGGGATTTTCTCTCTCTGTCCCTCTCCCTTTGCCCTTCCCCAACTCGTGCTCACACACTCTCTCTCTCTTACATAAATAAATCTTTAAAAAATAAAATAAAAGCTTCCCAGGTAATTCAAATCATGTGCAGAGTTGAGAACCAGTGTTTTATCAGGAAGTTGAGATGAGAAAGAAGACTGATAGGGGATTAACAATAATAAAGCTTCTCTGTGTACTTTGCCCATGTTTTTTCTTCCTAATAAAAATATCTTCAGGATGCCTGGGTGGCTCAGTTGGTTAAGCATCTGCCTTCAGCTCAGGTCATGATCCCAGGGTCCTGGGATCAAGTCCTTCATTGGGCTCCTTTCTCAGCCAGGAGCCTGCTTCTCCCTCTGCCTGCTGCTCCCCCTGCTTGTGCATGCACTCTCTCTCTCTCTGACAAATAAATAAAATCTTTTTAAAAAGTAATAAAATAAATAAATAATTAAAAATATCTTCATTGGTTTTTCTGATAGTACATGATGATTGTCAAAAAAAAGAGTTGTTAAGCTGAAAACTGTCAGCTATTTTACCAGCAAAAATGGGTTTATTCGGGAATAGCAGAGAATTGTGATTCAGAACACATAGGCTACTACAAAACTATAGGCAAGTCACAGAACGAAAAACAAGAAGGCTCTTTTACAGAGGAAAAGAGGGGAGCTGGGAGTGCTGTTATAAACAAAGTCCATTAGAGCAAACTGGGAATTCAAAGTATAGTGGCTTTTCATTGGCTGAGTTGTCTCATTGGCTAGGCTGTTGCTGGGATAAGAGGAAAACCTTTTTTCCCCCTCCTGGGATAGTGGCGTCCACCTGCAATGTCCCTCTCTTCCTATTGGGGTCTACAACGATCAGGAGTGGTAGGGCGCGAGAGCTCCCCCTGCTGGCCGCCTGGCTCGATTTTAGTGAGTTTTCCTTTTACTAATTTTCACAGAGTGAATTAAGAAAAAACCCCCAGTCCTAGTCTCTCCTCCTCCTGTGTCGGAAAAACAACCCAGCTCTACCTTCTCCTGTATGTTTCTCCTTGACTTTTACACAGGACATTTAACTTTTGACACTTCTGGTCACCAAATGTTGTGGGAGGGGCGCAATTCCCCACAACAAGCAATTCTCTGCACCACCAGCTGGGTGTCCTACAACTTAACTTACTTTTTTTTTTAAAGATTTTATTTTATTTATTTGACAGAGAGAGAGAACGCGAGAGAGGGAACACAGCAGGGGGAGAGGGAGAAACAGACTTCCCGTGGAGCAGGGAGCCTGATGTGGGACTCGATCCCAGGACCCTGGGATCATGACCCAAGCAGAAGGCAGACACTTAACGACTGAGCCACCCAGGCGCCCCCAACTTAACTTACTTCTAACACTGGCTACCTGTAGATAGTGTCAGATCCCACGGATCCCATCTGCCAGAGAAAATCCCATCTGCCAATTCTAATCTGTGGTGAGGGGAAGCCCCAAGGAAATTTTGTTGGGGCAGGGAGTTCAGGTGTGCCAACAAAAAAGGGAAATATTGAAGGGGTATCAGGCAGCCCAGTGACTGGCATAGAGTAGGAGTGAGGTGCTAAGAATGGGATACAGAAACCTCATGTGAAAGTATCTGAAAGTTCACACTGGTGCTCACATGCCAAGAGTGCAAAACACTGATTATCTATTTCATATCCTTAGTGTGTTGGATTTCTGGGACAGTGCCTGTCCTTTTATCACCTTCTCAGTATAAGCACTGATAAATGGAAACCACCTACCTTCTTTGGCTTTTGTTTTTTTAATAGACTTTAAGATCACAGCATAATTGAGAGGAAGGTACAGGGATTTCCCATATACCTCCTGCCCCCACACATGTAAAGCTTCCCCCATGATCAACATCCCCACCAAAGTGGTACATTTGTTACAACTGATGAACCTTCACTGACACACTGTTATCACCCCAAGTCCATAGTTTACTTTAGGGTTCATTCTTGGTGTTGTATATTCTATGTTGTAAAAACTCACATATCTACCATTAGAGTATCATACAGAAGAGTTTCATTGCCCTAAAAAAATCCCATGCTCTGCCTATTCATCCTACCCTCCCCTCCATACCCTGACAACCATTATCTTTTTACTCCATAATTTGGCTTTTTCCAGAAATGTCATACAGCTGAAATCACTTAGTAATATGCATTAGTTTCCTCCACATCTTTTCATGGTTGAAAGCTCATTTTAGTGCTGAATAATATTCTGTGGTCTGGAACCAGTTTATTTATCCATTCACCTACTAAAGGACACCTTGATTCCTTCTAAGTTTTGGCAATTATGAATGAGGCTGCTATAAATATCCAAGTTTTTAACTCCTTTGGGTAAATACCAAGGAGCACGATTTCTGAAATGTAAGAGAATGTTTACTTTTGTAAGAAGGCCGAACTGTCTTCCTAAGTGGCCATACCATTTTGCATTCCCACCAGCAGTGAGAATTCCTGTTGCTCAGTATCTTCACCAGCATTTGTTGGCCGTCCTCCAGATTTTGGCCACTGTAATAGCTGTGCGTTGGTATCTCATTGTTGCTGTTGTTGTTGTTGATAAGACTCCACGCCCAGTGTGGAGCCCAGTACCAGGGCTTGAACTCACAACCCTGAGATCAAAACCTGAGCTGCGATCAAGAGTCAGACGCTTAACTGACAGAGCCAACCAGGAGCCCCTCTCCTTGTTGTTTTAATGTGCATTTCCCTGGTGATATATGATGTGGCACATCTTCTCATATGCTTGCTTGACAACTGTATATTTTCTTCAGTGAGGTGTCTGTTAAGGTTGGTTCTATTTATGTGGAAAATAAAAAAACACCAATTTTTCCCAATGTATTTTTCTTCTTAATGCTTTTCTGTAGTGCTCAATTTTTTTCAGTGAAATTTCATTTTTACACGAAAAATAAAGCTAAAAGAAACAATGTGTTTTTAAAAAAAAAAAACGGGATGAGGAGGGGCACTTGAGTGGCTCAATCGGTTAAGCGTCCCACTCTTGATTTCAGCTCAGGTCATATCTCAGGGTCATGAGATCGAGCCCTGCACCGGGCTCCACGCTTGGCACAGAGTTTGCATGAGATTCTCTCTCTTCCTCTCCCTCTCCCCCTCCCCAAACTTGTATTCTCTCTAAGTAAATAAATAAATAAAATCTAAAAAAAACCCCACCAGGGTGAAAAAGAAAAAAATTAAAAATTAAATAAATACATACACACATACATATGGCTCAGTCAGTAGAGCACAGGACTCTTGATCTTGGGGTCATGAGTTAGAGCCCCACGTTGGGTGTAAAGATTACTTAAGGAAATAAAAAAAAAGAAAAAGAAAAAGAAAAAGAAAGGAAAAAGAAAAAATAAAAGAAACCAGGTTTGGAAAGAAAAGGGCCTGAGCATGAAGACAGTTGCTTGTGTCTACAACGCCCCTCCCCACTTAAGCCTTTACAGAAACACAGGTCTCTCACAAGAGAGTCACACAGAGACACACCCGACCTATTTCCTTTGCTCAGCACCATTTAATGTATTCAAGAACAGCTTTTTTCTTTTTTTTTAACTCAAAATAGGAAACATCACAGTCTCTTAGAAGCAATACATTTAATACAGTCATAAGATTTCAAATGAAAAACATATATTATTCATGCTACAGGTTTTCAATCCTCCTTGGACAACACAAAAAAACACAGTACTCAAACTGCACATTTTCACAGGATGAACACGAATCTCACTTGGACACAAAGAAAGATTAAAACAAAATTGAAACCAACGTTGAACAAACCCAGCAACAGCAGGCTTCCTGACGTCCCCCATCCCATTCCACCCTCGAACACACACTGCTGCCTGCTCCCCAGCATTTCTTACTTCCCACCCAGCAGCTCAGTAAAGTCAGACACCAAGACGTGTGTCACTGAATGAGTACTACAGCATGCTTAAAAAACAAAGGCCAATTTATTAATTGAATGTTGAAAGAGGTAATCGGATTAAGATGAGGTGAAACAAAATCTAGGGGAAACTGTGGGGCCCTGTCTTACTCACTTCACACTGATTTCAGAGCACAGGAATTGTGCTCAAAGGTTAGTATAGGAACTACAGATACCAAGAAATATCCCATTGTTTATAAAAGGAAGACTGCACTAACGTCTACAAAGAGCTTATAATACCATGGGAAAATATTTAAGTTATAAAGTTATAACTAAGAAGGCAGAATACAAAACTGTATATTCAGTATGATCTCAACTATGTAAAATCAAACCAACCAAAAGATGCCCTAAAAAGGCCAAAGTTCAAAATGTTTTGGGGCTGTATTCAAGTAGTGTATCTACAGTCATCTTTTTTTTCTTTTACTTTACTGTCTTTACCAAAATTTTCTCTACTGGGGGGATTTTTTTTTTTTAACTATTAGTTACCAAAAAAGAAAGCCTGATAGAAGTATTGAATTTGAGTTAATCAATTTAAGTCCAGACTGTAAGAAAGGACTTGTACATTTATGAAACTATGAAACATTTCAGGCTACTCCCTGAATCCATTGTGTGTTATGAGTAACTTCTGAGTAGAGGGTTTCTGCCTCTCCTCCAGCCAGGTACAAAGTGTCACCAGATCCTGCCTGATGAAAAATGTTGAACTAGGAGCCTTGCAAGTCCAGATGAGCCCGCAAGTGACTCTCCTTAGTGGTCCCCACTGCCCCAACACCGCTGGCCCCTGGTTAAAACACTGGCAGCATTAAAAAAAAAAAAAAAAGAAAAAAAAATGCTAAGCCAAACAGAAATGTAGTGGATTTACAAAAAAGTAACAGAAATACCCACACTTAGCAAAAACCTATTTACAGTACAGTAGTAGTTCCTTAATACTAGAACTAAACAAGAGGACAGCTATTTTCTCCTACCTTCTGTGCAGACATCAAGTTTCAAAAAAGCGATCATCACAATAACTGTAGAAAGCTAATCCTGGTTTAGAAACAAATAAAATAGAACTACAACAACAGCGGACAGAGAAAAAGCACAAAATTTAGAAAGTTATAAAAAGTGCTTTCTATAAAAGTGATTCCCTTTAAAACATTTGTTTACTGTATACACTGTAAGGTCCCCACCTCCCCACCCCCCAAAAAAGGGCAAAACCTCCAAACACTTTCTACCAAAGTATCCACTGGTTTGTTCATTCAACAAACACTGACTGAAGGCTATCATAATGTGTGAGGCACTGGGGTCTCAAAGAGGAGACAGACTTGTCCCTGTCTCAGGGACATCTCTGTCTTCTCAAAGCAGGAGGCGGACACATCGCCAACCAAAACACAGCAATTAAAAGCAGATGCTACTGCTTTCTTACAATCAAAGAATATGCTGCAATTCTTATTGAATTACTTACACAAAAGTCCTTACATAGAAACTTTCCTGACTTACTAGGAGGCAAAAATGCAACTACCCAATGAATACTTCTAGAAGGGGCAGGCATTAAATTACATTTTGTGATATTTGCCCCTAAACATCACAATGCCTAGTGAAGTCAGTTAACTTTCCTTTAAGCAATGGAGGATTTTTTACTCTGAGAATGAGACACCTTGAATCTGAGAATAAGTGACTAGTCCTAAACGTAGATCAAGACTAGTCAGTACCATCAAAGGCTCAGACTCAGGAGTGCAAATTTCAATTAAAATCCTCAGTCTCCCCTTCCAGCCGTTGATTTTCAATATGCTCCTGTGTCAGCCGCTCCAGGTCTTTCCTTACATTTGGGTGGTCTTCCAGATCTTCATAGAGTGATCTCACAATGTCCAGTCTCCTGTAATTCTCAGGCTTGACTAGGCTTCGGACAACCTGGAGGCACCGCTCTTTCAGAGTATACACTGTAAATGCAGAAAACCAAATCCTCAGCAGCAGACTCAAGCCTTGGGACAAGGGATGAGCAAGAGGCTTTGCCAACCATAGCAATTCCATTTACTATAGACAGACCTCACTTTGGGCAAAAAAAGTGAGTACATCTGTGTGGCCGAGTGTAACGTGATGGCCCTAACGGACATCTCATGGTATGCAGGACCTCATGTAGTAACTTCCCCTTACAAGTGGGCTAGGCTTGTGATGTGCTTTAACTAAATGAATGTGGGTGACGTAAAAGACACTGTGCCAATTCTGAACCTAACCTTTAAGAAGCCCTGGCAACTTCCACTTTTACGCTTTCAGGAGCCCTGAGCTACCCTGCACAAGAGACTACACAAAGAGGAACAAGCCCTGAGAATGCATGGGAGAGAGGCCCAGCCACCAGCCAACCTGCCAGCAGTCAGCCACACCAATGACCACCAATGAGCAGAATAACCACCTATCTGAGCTCAGCCCAGACTGCAGAATTATGAATAAACACTTTGGGGGTAGCTGTTAAAACAGCAATTGATAACCAAAACAGTTTGCAACTGGATTTTGAGGAACTCCAGTTCTATTTTAAACTCACTGGGGAACTTACTCTTTAAGGGTATCCTATAAGGCAAAATTTACATTTATCAATTTAACTTATCAACTTATTAATTTTTGTACACCTACTTCCTTAAAACAGGATCCACATATATGTATCAGTTTGAACCGTATGAAGCTACAGGTATTTGGGTTTGTTTTTAAGATTTTATTTTTAAGTAATCTCTGTACCCAACTTGGAGCTCAAACTCACAACCCTGAGATCAATAGTTGCATGCTCCACCAAGTAAGCCAGCCAGGCGCCCTTGTATTTGGGGTTTTTTAATCCACAAGAACATCAGTTTCTTTGGGTTCAACCTAATAAAATCAACTGAGTTGTAAACAAATGGTAAACTATGATGTTAATGTTTTTAACCTGTTTGGCACTGTGAGCTTGGATGGGTTAAATAACATTAAAAGATTCAACACTAGAAGCCATGGTATCTCATTCTCTATACCTTATTCCAGACTCCAGAGCATAATTCTGCTCTAAGGCCAGGTAAACAAAACGCATTCATAATTCTACGATCAGGTATTTTATTTACTTATTTATTTAAAAAATTTTTTAAGTAATCTCTACGTGGGGCTTGAACTCATGACCCTGAGATCAAGAGTCACATACTCTACCAACTGAGCTAGCCAGGGGCCCCTACAATCAGATATTTTAATTAAGCCCATCTCTGACAAGCCCAAGAGCTTCTGAGAAACCACAGCATCTTTGTTCAATATAGAGCATACAAATAAATCTGTTCCATTTTATTTGTGGTGGAGAATAGGACACAGAAAGATTGATAACTTGGTTAGCATCCAGTAAAAACCAATAAAGGTTTGGCTCCTTCAAGTGGCTTATTCTCTACTTATTACAACAGCCTTATCTTTTTATTTATTATTTTTACTTATTTATTTATTTTTAAGTAATCTCTATACCCAGTGTGGGGCTTGAACTCATGACCCTGAGATCAAGAGTCACATGTTCTACAGACTGAGCCAGCCAAGAGCCCTCAGCCTTATCTTTTTAAAAAGTAAGACAGAGGGGTGCCTGGTGGCTCAGATGGTTAAGCGGCTGCCTTCGGCTCAGGTCATGATCCCAGGGTCCTGGGATCGAGTCCCGCCTGGGGCTCCTTGGTCGGCGGGAACTGCTTCTCCCTTTGCCGCTCCCCCTGCCTGTGCTCTGACAAATAAATAAATAAAATCTTTAAAAAAAAAGGTAAAATGGAACATCAGTACCTGGTAGTGTGATGTTGGCAAAAATAGGCTGTCCATCAACATTGAGAGATGGCACAAACAGCTCAGTCTGGTTAACCAGAAGCCCATCATATGTCCCTGCATCTCGGAAGAGCCAAAGGTGACCTGTTAAAACAAGCAGAGGCTGTTAGGTTCCTTCATCTTCCTGGATTGACACTGAAGTACTTGCCTCTCATTCTGCTTAAATATCAAAGCCCTTCCAATAATACTATCTTACTCAATCCTCACAACAGATCTATTTATATATGAGAAAAGGGGTCTAAAAAAGCCAAGCGACTTGCTCAAGGGGACACGGACAGTAAGGAAAAAAAGAGCATGTACTTGAGGCTCCAAATACCATGCCTTTTCTGCTACCATGGTCAAAAAGCAAAGTACATGAATTGCAAATCACACCAAACACTGCAAACTAAAACAAAGAACTTAACCAACTCCTTACATCTGTGCTTCTCAAGAACAAGAAGGTGCAAAAACATCCTGTTGACAAAAAGAAGCCAGACAGAAAAGGCTACATTCTGTAGGAAAAGACACAGCTAATCTATGGTGTGAAAAACCAAAAGAATGGCTTCCTCTGTAAGAGAGGGGATTGAGTGGAAAGGGACAGGAGGGAACTTTCTGAAATGATGGAAATGTTCTAATCTAGAATTTGACCTAGGTGTTGCTATATTTGTCAAAAACACATCAAACTCTAATAGCTGTGCATTTTACTATATGTATATTATACTTGAATTTAAGAAACAAATACATCATATGCCAAGAAAAAAGAGGGAGGGGAAGAAGGAGGGAAAACCCCCCCCAGACCTAACATTCTATTAAGGGAGGTAGAGATTTTGTCTGAATAAAGACATCACTAAAAATTAATCAATTAACTAATTAGTTAATTAAATACATCATGTGTTCCTGGTGCACAAACTTACTTGAAGATTTGGTGGAAAAACTTAAGAAATGTAACTGGTAATTTTTTTTATTATGGTAAAACATACATAAAATTGACCACTTTTAAGTGTACAGTTCAGTGACATTAAGTACATTCACACAGTAATTTTTTTTTTTTAAGATTTTATTTATTTACTGACAGAGACACAGCGAGAGAGGGAACACAAGCAGGCGGAGTGGGAGAGGGAGAAGCAGGCTTCCCGCGGAGCAGGGAGCCCGATGCGGGGCTCGATCCCAGGACCCTGGGATCATCACCTGAGCCGAAGGCAGACGCTTAACGACTGAGCCACCCAGGCGCCCCATAGTAATTTTTTTTTAATTTTATATTAAATCAGGCACAGATAAATTTTGGAGAAGAAATTCACAAATTCTTAGATAAAATAGGAGACTACAGAAATGTTGATCCCTGGAAGAATTGTGTTCTCCCTCATTTAATATCAAGGGAAGTTTGGTGTAAACATTTGAAAAGCATTTCTGAGTACGCCCCTCTCAAGGCAAAAGGATCCACTGGGATCCTCCCAGGATGGCTGTGAAAAATAACGGAGTACTACTTCTCTTTTTGAAAGCTATGGGAAGATTACTGTCTCCTTAGGTATAAGGCCTAGTTATCCTTCACCTGGGTTATTACAACAGCTTCCTAACTGGCTCCTCACCAGCAGTCTTCCCTCTCCAAACCGCTGTGCAACCCGGGGGGTAGCTTTTCAGTATTAAAATCTGTCACTGTCATTTCCCTGCTTGAAAACGCAAGGGCCCCTCACTCCGCAGGGGAAAAATCATCTTTCAGGCTTCCTCTCCCACCATTCCGTACCTTCTCCCAAGACTCCAGGTGTTGTTAGGCCATGCGGTTCCCTCTAGCTACAACTCTCAACTCCTATCTTGGGTCGGTTAGCCCCTATGCATCCAGCGGGCCTCCTTTTCTTCTGCTCTGGGAAGCTCCACGTGAAACTACACACCCCCTCCCTTCACTGAGCAGGAGCCGGCTCCAAGCTCCCACTTTCCGCTGTGCTCCGTTCCTCTAGCAGCAACTGGGACACTGGCTGGTTATCTGTGTATGCGGTCGTCCGTCCCCGCCCCCGGCCTGTGTTCTCCCGGAGGCAGGGACCTGGCCCACTGGGGACCTTGGAGAATGTGAGATTCTCCCATTCATGGGCTGAACCAATAGGCATTAGATAGGGAGCACTTTTAGTGGTAAATACACTTGTAAGGGGAAAAAGTCACCTCACATGAAAATTATTCGGTCCTATAGAGAATTAGCTGCCACTTCCTAGCAGCGTCAACCCGGATCTGTCACAACCTCTCAGGGGCACCAGCAGGCGCTCGCTGCGCCCCGGGACAAAGGGGGTTGGCGCGGTCGGGCTGGGCCGGGCCAGGCCAGGGCGACCCCGGCCCGCCTACCTCGGTAGCTGTGGATGCGGCGGCCCGTGCCGGGCGGCAGCGTCGGGTAGGGCTGCGGCTCACCGTCGAAGTTGAGCCACACCGGCAGCACGACGCGCGGGCTGCGGTTGCAGAAGATGACCTGCGACGGCTCACAGGAGTTCACTGAGCGCAGCACCGGCCGCGGCTGCCCGGCCTCCATCTCCTCCTCGGCGCCCGGCTCCTCTGGGTCAGACTCTTCCGGTACGGACTCCTCGGTGCCCGACTCCTCCCCGCCGTACTCTTCAGGGCCCACCTCCTCGGCGCCCACCTCCTCCGCACCTGCCTCAGCCTCTTCCACGTTCCCTGCCTTCCAGGGCATTACCTCCCGGAGCCTAGACAACCCGAGACTCAGCGCCTCGGGATTTGCGGGCCTCACGGGGCGGAGCTGGGTGTGCGTGCGCGTCCCCGCAAGCGTGCGTGCTGTTTTCGCGCGCTCTCGGTCGGGGGTGGAATACTGTACAGAAATGGCGGGCTTGAAACTGTGCGCAAGCGCAGGTGGGACCTCCGGCCACGGGAACCGAGCGCCCAGGAGACGGAGGCTGGTGTCAGGCCACTTCAGCCGCGAGTTTCCCCGTGGATTTTTTTTTTTTCGCACCAATAAGCTTTTGACACAGTATTTCCTTAACTTCATTCATTCTCTTGATACCTTCATGGTTTTTGCCATGTTCTCCCTACCAAATGCGCTATTATTTATTTAATAAATTTCTCGTTCGTTTAGTCTACATTTTGGGTCAACTCAAATTTTGTATAGAAGAGTATAATAAAGTCACAAAATTTGCTTTATCTTCCTAGTTTCCCCCAGCCACCCAGGAGAAGTCCACGGAGGCGAGAAGTACTACGAGTTTTTTGTACTTCCTTTTAAAGGTATTTTCTGTACTCACACAAAGCAGTTTAAGAAATTTTATATTACTACCATCAGTGGAAATTCGCTCTCATTTGTCGCAGAAGAGTACAGTGTAACTAAGTTCAATGGAAACAGTTATTAAGTTTTATCTACGGTCTACTGAGTCTGCTTTTTCTTGGTTCCACCGGTTTAGACAAGTGTTAAAGATTAAATGCCAAGTGTTAGTTGTCACACCAACTTTCTTCTGGACATAATCAGACGGATTAAAGGAAATTGAAATGGGACACTTTCAATCCTGTGACACTGGAGTCTGTGGGCCCTCTGAAATTCACACCCACCTGGGTTCTCATTCTGTCTGTAGCTGCAGATATGTGATGGCAAAATTCTTTAAATTCTCTGTCTTTGCTCATTTTTAAGAATTAGGTCACAAAACCGTGGACAAGTGTTAAGTGGAAAGTGGTAAGTGCCCAGCACATAGTAAGCACTCAACAAATAGCAGCAGTTAATATTATAAAGATAAATTAAACACACTGTCTCTGTCCTGAAAACTCTCGCAGGCTACTGGGCACGCATACAAGACATATTGTTACAGTATGATACTGGTTGCAAAAGAGCAAGGTGTAAAGTAGTTTGCTGGGCAAGGCTTCCCAGGAAGAGTTATATCTGGGATGGACTTTGAAGAATGGACCTAAGAGCTTTCCTTTCCCATGTCCCATCAGACAAATATCCATGTTGGATGTCAAATAAAGGCTCATAGACAGATTTCCCAATCCAGTTTGCTTCTCATTGATTATATACCATTGCCTCCAAGCCCAGCACTCCTACAGACCTAACACTTACTGAAAATCCACCTGGAGGCCCAAGCCAGAGAGGGACATAGATGTAAGCTCATAGCCCAGTATAATGGCCCCAATATTTAAAAGAAATGGCAGAGAGAGAAGGGACAAGTAAATTTTTTGTTTTGTGTTTGGCTACACCCCTGGGCAGCTGTTCTCAATCAAATCTGCAAAAGCAGAAGAGGTTTAGATCTATGATTTTAGATGTTTGATGACCCATCTGAGCAACCTCATTTCAGTTTGTTCGACTGCCTGACAGGAAAGAGTGAGGCAAACTTCTTCACAAACCATGTTGGAAAATGGCAACCCCATTAAAGTGAGGGAAAGCTTATTTAGCATATGGAAATGAATAAAAATATAGTGGGAAAAGCTATCAAATTGTATGTGTAATGTGATGACCTTTATGCAAAATACATGTAATTATTCCCCCAACCCCATCTTCTAGATGTAGTTTTGTTACTTTTGTAATGAAAACAACTAAATCAGTTCCTTTTTGCCCCCAGTCTTATTGAGATATAATTTACCTAAGTCATTTCCCTTTTTTAAAATGTTTTTAAGTTTATTTATTTATATATATATATATTTTTTAAGATTGTATTTATTTGAGAGAGAAAGAGTGCACTAGCATGAGTCAGAGGGTAGGGGCAGAGGTAGAGGGAGGGGGAGAAGCAGGCTCCCTGCTGAGCAAGGAGCCCAACCTGGGACTCAGTCACAGGACCCAGGGATCATGACCCGAGCTGAAGGCAGACGCTTAACTGCCTGAGCCACCCACGCGCCCCTATTTATTTATTTTAAAGATTTTATTTGACAGCGAGAGGAGAGCATGCGCACAAGCACAATTACGTACAATTACATTTTAATCTACATTTACTAAATCATTCTATTTTCTTTTTTTAAAATTGTAATGTTTAGGGCGCCTGGGTGGCTCAGTTGGTTGGGCGACTGCCTTCAGCTCAGGTCATGATCCTGGAGTCCCAGGATCGAGTCCCACATCGGGCTCCCTGCTCAGCGGGGAGTCTGCTTCTCCCTCTGACCCTCTTCCCTCTCGTGCTCTCTATCTCTCATTCTCTCTCTCGTAAATAAATAAACAAAATCTTTAAAAAAAATAAAATTGTAATGTTTAATCCTTATAGCAAAACTAAGGTGTTGACAGGTTAGTTATTTTGACTCAGAAGTTGTTTATTAGCATTAAATACATTGTATGTCTACTGTGCATGAGGCAGTGGAGATAAAATGTTGAGAAACAGACGAATAATTTCTACTCTTGGAGCATATAACATAGTCATTATTCACTGTATTTTCCCATGCAATCCAAAGGACACCAAAATGACATTTGCATAAAATCCTCAGGAAAAACAACATAAAGGAACAATGCAATATCAACTTTATTAGATAGGAAATATATCATAGGCCAAAATTTTATTTTAATTTAAGATTTTATTTATTTATTTATTTGAGAGAGAGAACGTGAGCCAAGGAGAGAGGCAGAGGGAGAGGGAGAAGCAGACTTTAAGGTGAACAAGAATTTTAAGGTGAACAAGAATTTTAGGCAGTAATCTAGTCTACTGTTGCTGTTTTAGAAATGAATAAACAAGCCTGGACAGTTTGTGTGACATGCCCACCCACCTACCTGGTGGCCAAGCAAAAACTAAAACCCAGGTCTCCTTAGTCCCAATCAGTGCAGAGCTATTCAAGGACTCCCACATCAGTTTTCTGTTTTCTGTGCAATGCTGGTCCTTTATCAGCCTCTCCTTGGATCTCATTTACAACCTGACAGAGCAAAAGGGCAACTGCCATGTTTCGCTGTGTTACCCATTGGCATCAATGTTTGCATTGAAAAACATTGGGGCAGGGTTTCCTTTGGTTCTTTTGGCACCTTTGGGTTTGTTGAGACTACCAAGTATGAGGCTAGTATTGTGCCTTAATCTGCATCCCCCACCCATAACATATTTGAAAAATAATTCCATTGTGAAACAAATTTCAGGTTTGTGGAAAAAACTTAAGAATAGTACAAAGAATGTATATATATTCATATAACACAATTTTGAATTGAGATCATTTTATCCCCAAATCTGAACTCATTTAATGTGATAATCCCATTGTGACTTTAAGGGTACACATGGACAGGGACGCCTGGCTGGCTCGGTCGGTGGAGCATGGGACTCTTGATCTCAGGGTTATGAGTTTGAGCCCCACGTTGGGTGTAGAGATTACTTAAAAATAAAGTCTTAAAAAAAAAAGAGTACACATGGACAATAAATGCATTATAAGGGGAAACATTAATATGTCTTTTTTTAAAGTAAGATGTCCAATTCAATAAATAATTCATTTTGACTTTGACATTTTGCCTCAGAAGTTGTTTATTAGCATTAAATACATTGTATATCTACTGTGCATGAGGCAGTGGAGATAAAATGTTGAGAAACAGACGAATAATTTCTACTCTTAGAGCATATAACATAGTCATTATTCACTGTATTTTCCCATGCAATCCAAAGGACACCAAAATGACATTTGCATAAAATCCTCAGGAAAAACAACATAAAGGAACAATGCAATATCAACTTTATTAGATAGGAAATATATCATAGGCCAAAATTTTATTTTAATTTAAGATTTTATTTATTTATTTATTTGAGAGAGAGAATATGAGCCAAGGAGAGAGGCAGAGGGAGAGGGAGAAGCAGACTCCCTGCCAAGCAGAGAGCCTGACTTCTGGCTTGATCCAGGAACCCTGTGATCATGACCTGAGCTGAAAGTAGACGCTTAACCGACTGAGCCACCCAGGTGCCCCTCGTAGGCCAAAGTTTTGTTTGTGGGAATCAAGTATTTTTGTTTTTTGGTTATTTAAAAAAAATTTTTTTTACCATTGTACAAGTAATACAATACCATATATAGATTACAGGTACATACAAGTGTATGAGAAGCACTAAAAATTGGCCTGGATAAAAGAACTATCAAAATTCAACAATAAGAAAACCTAATAAATGGACAAAGGCCCTCAAAGAGGATGGCAAACAAGCCCATGAAAAGGTATTCTACATTGCTAGTCACTGAGGAAATACAAACCAAAACCTTAGTGAGTTACCACTATCCGATCTATTAGAATAGCTAAAACTTTTTTTTAAGATTTTATTTATTTATTTGAGAGAGAGAATGAGAGAGAGTACATGAGAGGGGGGAAGGTCAGAGGGAGAAGCAGACTCCCTGCTGAGCAGGGAGCCCGATGCGGGTCTCGATCCTGGAACTCCAGGATCATGACCTGAGCTGAAGGCAGTCGCTTAACCAACTGAGCCACCCAGGTGCCCCGATAGCTAAAACTTTTTAAAAGAACAAAACCTAATAATACTAAGTGCAGGCAGGAACATGGAGCAACTGGAACACTCCTGCATTGCTGGTGAGAATGTGAAATGATAATAGCCACTCTGGGAAAACAGTTTAGCAACATCTCATGAAACTAAACATACACTTACCATATGACCCAGCTATCTCACTCCTAGATGATTCTCACTTAGGAGAAATGAAAACTTATGTTCACACACACACACACACACACACACAAACACACAACCTGTATGCAAATGTTTATAGCAGCTTTATTGATGATTGCTAAGAACTAGAAATAACTCCAATGTCCTTCAGTTGGTGAGTGGACGGTGGAATACCATTTGGCAATGAAAAGGAATAAGCTGTTGACACATACAA